ATCGTAGTCGGCATCGTCAGTGAGTTTTACCATTCGTGGCACTATCTTACAACTCGTCAAAGAGACAAGTCAAACAACTTCTATACAACGAAAGGAGACTGCGACCACACAAAATGCCACACCATCTTGGTCTTCATATCTTCGTTCGAAGACTTTATACTTAATGGAATTATCCGGCCTAAGCAACCTTCCAAATATGCCACATCCTTGCAACTCTACTGGCGCCGCAATCCCAACAATCTTGTCTCTAACGGAAGATATGGTACCAGTATGGAATCAATACCTTTTGTATGGACTTCATACATTCATATCTTATTCCGCTTCATTTCATAATAGCTGGAGAAATAGTTACTTAAAACTGCACTGCATTGCATTATGGAAAATCTCACCATTTGGGCCAGAGGGACTTCTAATGCACGGCCAATCTTCAGAGTTAACCTTTTCATGGAGGCAATTACAAGGGCTCTTAGAACATTAAGTCTTCCTCAAGCATTTGACTTTGCCGAGATCATTTTAAAGCTTGTAATGCGTCAAAACTCGCATAAGCATTTTTTCTAAACCAATTATCAACAATTGGATGAATTGAAAAAACTTCAAAAACACTTTTTATTGTTTTCAAGATGTGTGTGAATATTTATTGGGGATATTCTGCGATATTACATCACATCAATTCTAGCTTTCCGAAGGGCTTCTATCTGATTTGTGTGATTTAAGGATATGCATAGACTATGAAATTACTATAATTATAGATACGAAGAGAAGGTTGGTTTCGATGAATTTTCTGAGATGACATTGTTAGGGGGACCTTCATTTCGAATGAAAGTGCATGAAGTTTCGGGTGAAAACGTGCTGAGCTTTCGTCCATTATTCGATGGACATCATCAGAGCTGGGTGTCATTCTTGTAAAAGTCTTACGTTAACACTAAAGCAAGAACACTATCCGGATTTATCTTACTTCTTATATAGACTCAATAGAGCCAAAAAATTAAAAATTAAAAAACCTAGATAGATCGATATAAAGCGGTTTGGTTAATTTTATTTTATACCGGTTTTGTTATTTTTGCTCGATTGTATGAGTATGTATATTTGTGCGTGTTAGCGTCTATATGCAATACGGTTCCTAAATCAGATTTGTCAAAGGTTAAATCTCCGGTTCTGATCCCAAAGACCTAATAACCCAAGAGAAAATCTTTGAACTAGACTGCCTATGTCTGTAAATAATTATGGCTGAGATAATGAAATATGAGCTTGTAAACATGAAAATCAAGTTACGAAACCACTTGTCCTAACCTTTCAGTCAAGGGTCATTAACGTTTAACCCTCCAAAGTAATGCAAGACTGGGGTTGCGTAATCTGACAACTGCATTGTTATTTATTGCAAAGATTCACTTAACCAGGTAGGAAGACCAAGATGGTGTGGCCTTTTGTGTGGTCGCAGTCTCCTTTAGTATAGAAGTTGTTTGACCTTGTTTTCGCAACTCGGTCATATTGGTAGGAAGACTTAGAGGAACACACCTAGTCTTGAGTCCATTGTATGCAT